AAAAAAAAAAAAAAAAAGAAAAGAAATGAAATCACACAAAAGATTTCCCTTCTGTAAGTGCATGACTCCATGTTGGTTGAGTTGCATGTATGATGTGGTCTTCATCACTCCTTGAAAGGTGTCATCTGTAATGGATGGTTCAGCTTTCAGTGTCACAACAGATGCACTTCATTGTGACACTTCAAACAACCTCCATATGAACACGAGCTGCAGGCTGTTGCTAGAGGGCTCTGCAGTTGATTGTCATGTGTCTACTTCATCTTGTGATTTAAAACTAAAAATCCCCCCTTTTTTTAATGCGTGAGCTCTCCATGGCTTCACTTGACACAAACACGAGTGACACAAATAGAAAGCGCATATGGTTAGTTCAAGAGTTTGAGTACAAGTCAGAATTTGTAGATTTACTGCAGAATAAGTCGCAGGGAACAGAAAAAATGCAAACATGAATATTAAGAGAAAGGATTCTATATAATCTGCTTTAATTCCTCTCAAACCGCAGAATGACCTACTCTGGTAAACGTTCAGTTGTGAAAACCAGCTACAAATAATTAGTTGAATAAACATGATGCAAAAACACAAAAAAATAAAGCAGGGACATTGAAAATAGTCCAACTGCATATTATATTGTAGCTGCAAGGTTTTGTAGAGAAAACCTTGTATTCATTGTATAATTCATCTGATGGTCGCTTTACATTTATCAAGCAAACATCCTGTTAACTCTGCTCAGGAATGACAGGATACCTGTGAGTCTTTTCATCCCAAATTTATGCTGATAACATCCCATAAATAACTTTCTGCTGACTGACCCATGAAATCAATGCCTGGCTTACTTATGCAGTCTTAATTGCTGTTCTACATTAATAGGCTGATCAATACTTCCACGTAAACACATTGTTTTAATGATGTTTGTGTCATCCTGGCAATTCCAACTTTCAGCTTGTTAACAGAGGCAGAATCCATGTGATGTTATCAGAACATCCTGTTCAGCAACTGCTGCAAGCAATTTACCCCCAATCTGCTTCAGACTGCAAAACGCTGGGGCATTCTCCTCATTCCATTAAGTACATATTCTATAGTTAATATTCTGCCTATTACAGGTCTTTCTGGCCATGTGAAAATAATTAAAGACCAGGGATCCCTGGACCAGCTGAACCCCTGTGATCAGCAGTTGGTGATGCCCTCCACGAGATTTCTGTGGGTTAGTTTATATTGGTTCTTTCGGGGTTCTGGGACTTTCTACAACAATGCCCAATTCCACACACACATTTTAAATACCTCAATGTATGAATTAAATTAGACCCATATTTCTCAGAAATAAAACTATACACTGAACAGGTATTTCTTGTTTCGAGCGCTCAAAAAAATGACTCAGCTATGTGAAGATGCAAGTATAAGAATATGCATTTTACCATTTAAAATAGGAGCTTATATGTGAATTCCCCCGCTGCAACTGATGCTGCTGCTCATCTTCCCAAAGCACTTCAGGAGTCATGGTGGGACAAAGAAAACTGAAGGATGCTAATGTTTTATGTTTGAATTTAACAACTATTTTTTATCTGTTGTAACAGTTAAGGCTAAAATTGCTAATTACCTTTAAAATTTGTCTGATTCCTGGAAATCATCTTGCGACCCCCTTCGTAGTGTCTTGCAACCCACTGGAGGGCCCACTCCCCTAGTTTGGGAACCACTGACTTAGATAAGCACTTTTTTTTGCAAAGATTCACAAAACAGAGACAAAATATTCACATGAATAACTCAGTTTCTGTCCATGTCTTCAAAACATTGTTTTTTTGTAATCAAAGTGTTCAGACTACTTAGATATATAAAGTCACTCTGGCGTGCATGTTTATATCAGGATTAAACTCACGACTAATAACAAGGCCCATGAGGCGTTAGACTCTAAAGTATATCATAACAATACATTTGGCAAAATAGACCTTTTCAAACTGGCTTAAAAATAGTTTTTGCACATCTGGAAAATCATATTGAAGCACGAATAAGAGTTGAAGTCCCTGTGGGAAGCTGTTAGACTTTTGACCCCACTGTTGCTCTAACAGTATGTGCTGCTCATTACGAGCACTCTTAATCCAGTGGGAGAGCTCCATGTTAACTTTGTTGTAAGGATGCAGAGTCAAAGCAACAGACAAAACACAGAGGAAGCAGTGTAGGCGTGGATGTAATCTCATTTGTATTGTGTTTTTGCAAGGATAGCAATAGAGTTTTTGCAGAATACAAGAGCAGCCACACAACCACCCTCTGGTAGGGTCAGATTTGAGGCAACAGCAAGTCATGTTAATGTGATTCTGAACATTTGCTCTTGCTTCTGATTTTCCTCTTTACATGTCAGTTATTTTATAGAGAAAATGATCATGCATATGATCAAATTAACCTCTGGACTGAGGTCACCTCCCCATTATTGTCTGTATTTATTCACAAACATGTCGCCGTCTTCCAACTGAACTCTTGACAAATGAATGTGACTATGTGTGAAGTTGACACTGTCAAATGTTTACTGCGTCACTTGTCTGGGTTTTAGATTTGTACTTATCATGCACTTTTGAACTAAATCTGAGTACAGCCTCTTTTCTTCTTCAAACAAACTGATATAAAGTGATGGATTCTGAAATCATTACTACTTTCATATTAGAGTGAATATTCTGTATGATTACATTTTTGTGTGTTGTTCTCTTGCATTGCTCATGGTGCATCATGTTTGTTACCATTTATCTTACACACATTATTTCATTTTTAATATGTTTTCATTTGATTAGGCATCAAGAAGAAGTCCAAAGTGCCCGGCGTCATGATAACTCAGTTTAAGGAGGAACTTCCAGAGGGAATGTCAACTCCAGATTTCACCCGCAAACCCATCGCTCTGACTATTCAAGAGGGTAATTATTTATGTCACTGAGAGAAATGGAAAACATTTATTTATCCCTCTCCTACAACAGCACACTTTGACCTCATTCACAAATGGTAACAATCAACATGTAGACTTAAGAGAGGAAGAGTTGAGAACTATGACAACTACGACACATCTTAGGAATGAAAAATTCTTCAGTTATAGCATATACTGTCGGCCATTCATTTTAAAGGTAAGTGCTTCACACTTCACTCTGAAGTTTTTTTGAGCAAGACACTGAATCCCCAATTGCTCCCAATGGCTGTAGAAGTGGGGTATAACAAGTCTCTTTGGATAAAAGTATTTATCAAAACTTAACAATTCCTTTTTTAGATGTTACAGCAATTGATGCTTTTGCAGATACTTTTAAAGAATAGAACAAAGCAGCCCTTTGGTGGGTTAAAGCACAGACAATCAGTTAATGCCCAGAGAGGGATTGAATGTGATCCACCATTTCTCTCTTCCCTCAATACAATCATTTCTCAGGTTTCAGCTGTACAATAATGAAATCCAATATGTATATTTCCACCAAAATTTTAAATCAATCCACATTTTAGACGAAAAAAAGTAATTTGCAAGTGAGCCATTATTTTCTGAAAATACAGCCTTGAATACTTTGCCACTGTTAAGGAAATCCTCATTTTGTCCTATTCCAGGTAAACTTGCAGTCTTTAAAGCCAAAATAGTGGGAACTCCAACACCTAAAGTGACATGGAGCAGAGCAAACGGAGAAATCACTTATCACCCTGATGTGTGCCAGCAAAAGTATGATGAGGCATCTCTTGAACATACGATTGAGGTAAGTTTCACATGCAGCACTGTTAGCGCAAGGTAAAAAGGAATACCACTAATTCTGTCTTTGCTGTCTAATAGTTTCCAAAAGTCGCAGCAGAGGATGCCGACACCTACAAGTGTTTTGCAACTAATGAACATGGAAGAGCTGTTTGCACTGTTGTCTTAAATGTTATTTCAGGTACATTCCTTATTGTTCTTAGGATCACTCTAGTGTGTTCGGTAATATTTGCATTAAACATTCTCTTGAGGATATGGCATACTTGAATTGTGACAAAACCTATTGTTTGTTCACAGTTGGATTCTCCAAGACCAAGGAACTTAAAATGACACAAGAAAAAGGTGAGGTTTCAATTAAATTAGTTTTAGTGGAGTTCTAAATTTTCATATATATTGTATTCTTTTTTGCAAGGTTACAGGTTGTATTTGTTGGTTGCAGGGTCACAGCTTCACTGTCCCTGCCCTCTTCAGACACCCAATAGCAGACAAACTGGCAACACAAATAAAAATACGATAAGACATTTCTCACATTTTTAAAAATGACACTTTAAGGAACAGGGCAACAAGCTGTGGACAAAGACAAATTGATGTTTTCAACGAAAATGTCAATACTTGAAGTTGTGCTAAAACTTCACCCATATAGTCTCACAACAATGTGACGTTTTATTCATCAATTGGATTTATTGGAAAAATCTGCCTGTCATGTTCACCTGTCACACAAATTAATGTCTCTCTTAGAAACTGAATGAAAAGTTTGGACACCACTAAAAACTACATAGGGTAATCAATCACATTTATTCTGAGCAGAATAGGAGGGATATTAGGGAGTCACTTAGTCCAGCGTTCTTGGTTCTGAGCAAAGTCAAGGAAACAGTTCAATTTGAAGTTTGATCCATCACTTAAGGTGTTTGAGTTCTGGACACGTTTCTCAATTACACCTTTATCAAAGGATTGGTCTGTTGATATTCTGTATTTTTGTAAATGTCTACAAATCACATAGAGTGGACCAAATTAAAGTCTATGTATTCAAAGTATAGTTGTTGTCAAAGCAGTATTTACAAAACATATGTATCAGTAAAAGTAGGTATAAGAGTATATAACAGGAGGCAGGAAGTTGCCTCATGGGAAACATTAATGAAAATACTGAGCCTTTGTGAAACATGAGAATATGTTTGTGACCCATTTTATACTGTATCTTTAAGAGAAATGGAAACCTGTGGAAGTATTGAGAGACAGTTAGCATTGATCCTCCCCTGGGCTTTGCTGACCTAACATACTGTAAGTGTAGATTATGAGTAACTTGTGCTTTGAGATCAAATGTATTTAAAAGAAATAGACAAAGCCCTGCACATCACAAATTTAGGTTGAAGTTGTTAATGCCTCATGATCTCATTGGGTGATGGACTGTTTTTGTTTTTTCTGGTTCCTCAGACATAACCGACTTGAGAAAAAGCCTTAAAAAACGGTGAGTCAAATAATTAAAGGTTCAGTGTGTAGAATTTAGTGACATCTAGAGGTGAAGTTGCATGTTGCAGCAGAATACCCATCATCTCACCCCCAAATTGTTTCAGTAGAATGTAATGAAAGAAATTAATCCCCCCCCCCCGCTGCAGTAATACTGACGGAACACGTGAAATGAAGAAAATGGAACCAGAGGAGAAGGTCTGGGAAATTCTGCTTAGTGCAGACAAGAAAGACTATGAGCAGATCTGCATCGACCACGGCATCACAGACTTCCGAGGAATGCTGAAGAAACTCAATGAATTGAAGCGAGAGAGGGAGGAGGAGATAGCAGCGGTATGTGACACACCACCTGTTTTCTTAGTGTTTGATAACCATCTTAAATTTGACAGACAGACCCGTTTCTCCTTCATATAACTTTTTGTTGTGTTACATTTATTGTAGTTTGTGACACAAATTAGTTCACTCAAACATATTGAGGTCAATGACAACGACTGTGCAACAATTGAGTTGGACATGGACCTCAAGGATCCTTCCAGCAAACTGTTCCTGTATAAGGTGAGACATCTTTTTTTTCTTTGTATTTTCTTAATCAAGTATGATCAGAATGACATGTCTCTGAATTCTGCAGGATGGCATCATGGTTCCTTTCTCCATCGAAGAAAACGATGAAGTGAAGCACAGTTTGAAACAAGTGGGCAAGAAATATGTATTCAGAATTAAAGGGTTAGGTGCAGAAGATGCTGGACTCTACTCGGTGGACGTGGGGGGCATCAATGTATTTTCCACAGACTTTAAAGGTGAGTCAAGGTTAGGTTGGATAAATTCAGTTACTTTCAAGTAATTACTGATCTAATGTTGTCTGGAAGATGAATAGGACAGTGAGGAAATTAAATAATCTATCTGTGCTTCTTTTTGTGCATTTTTTAATCTGCAGTACCTGAAGTTGACTTTGCTGTGAAAATACAAGAGGTCAAGGCAGAAGAACGAGAGGACGCCCTTTTTCAATGTGTCCTGACTGCACCCATGAACGACATCATGTGGTATGGTAAAAGCGCCCCACTGTCAAATAGTGAGAAACATGAAATCACTGTATCAGAAGATAAGCTGATCCACAAGCTGATTGTGCGGGACTGTCTGCCTTTGGATGCTGGTATCTATGCTGCTGTGGCAGGAATCAAATCATGCAATGCCTGGCTTGTGGTTGAAGGTGAGAAAATTATTTTGCAACTTTTTCTATCTATGGAAATTCTCATTATAGAGTATGGCAGATGCAAAATTTGTAAATGTTTTGTAAACAACTTCTCCTGAACCTAAATAGCTAATACTAAACAACTCAATTCAACATGTAGCTGATGATCTAACTACATCTGATGTTTTATCTTTTATAGCTGACAAAGATCCTGCCAACAAGGGTAAGAAGGCAGCTCGTAAAGCTACTATGGCTGGAGTCTACAACGAAGAAGAACTGAAGAAAATAGCTAAAGAACAGCAGGAAAGATATCAGAAAGAAATGGAAGAAAAACTGGAAAAGGCCAAAAAAGCTCAAGAGGAGAGAGAAGCTGCAGAAGTCATCGCCCAGACGGAAGCAGCTAGAAAGGCAGCTGAGGAGAAAGCTGCGGCCAAGGCTGCTGCAAGGGCAAAGAAGGCAGCAGCCAGAAAGGATGGAGCTGGAAAGAAAACTAAGAGGAAAGTCGGTGGTGCTGGCTCTGCTGCAGATGGTGCCGGAGGTGCCAGTGGTTCTGGTGGCGGAGGCTCTGCCACAGTTGGTGCTGGTGGTGCTGGAGTTGCTGGTGGTGCTGGAGGTGCTGGCGATGCTGGTGGTGCAGGAGGTGGAGTCGGAGGTGGGGCTGGAGGAATTGGAGGACAAGCTGGAGGAATTGGAGGACAAGCTGGAGCTGGAGGAGAAGGAGGTCCAGCTGGTGGTCGGGCTGGTGGTGGGGCTGGAGGAGGAGCTGGTGTGGGAGCTGGTGTGGGAGCTGGTGGTGGGGCTG